GCAACGCGAGTGCACCACGAGATTATGCAAAAATGTGTACGTCGCGCCGCTACGTTTGTATGGAGTTACCATAGTATGCTTATACACTACAGTTGTTAAGTTCGTAAGAGTACAATGAACATTTTACTGTGTAACATAAATACCTAACCATACAATATAAAAGTAGTAATTTTGTTTTCACACGGATTGTGAATTTCCGTTGTAGTTCAGCGGTCCTCGTGTTTATTTTTAAACTTCTACGAATATCGCCTCAAATTCATGAACCAATTGAAGTAAAAATGTATGTATATTAAATTTAGTATCGTTTCTGTTTTAAAAATCCCGAAAATATCACATTATGTCACGGTGAATGAATTCTGTATGATGGCATGTTTTACCAAGGATATCGGAGCACGAAGGTGCCTACCTAATAGATAATAATAAGTATCAAGAATAAGGGGCCTTTATGTCGGTGACATCATAATTCACAGCCAGACCTTGAGACCAATCTGCGAGCATGTTAAATCGCATTTGCGATTGTTTTTCGACGTCTCAATTATAAATAGGATTCATTGTTACTTTAGGGAGCACATGGTGGCTTTATAAAAGATTCATATAAGTTTTTAGTAACTAGATGAATTGGTAAACTAGCGTATTTGTGTATTACTAACTACAAATATTTTAGGTGTTCGATGATCGTTTTACAGATATCTCAGCATATATTATACTAATCGATTACGAAAACTTTAATTTAATGAACCGAATGTTTTTTATTCGTACAGCACTATGCAACCACACGCAAGTCATAGTTGTATAGTTGACAAATAACTTTACTTTTGGACTACCATTTTTCAATTACGATTTTACAATGCTATTCAAATGAATATTGTTGGAAAAAGTGATGAGATATCAAGTTGAAATCTTCGAAATATTCGTGAGTGTTACTAGAGTGATTGCTTTAGAATTTTAACCAAACAGTTTTGTTTACTTTTTGTTCAAAATGGATTAGAACAGACCACATCAAAAGTTCTGATAATTTGTCTAAACTTTGAATCGGATTATTTTAACTTTATTTAGGAAGTCGGCAATATCTTGCACTAGAGTCAATTATAAAAAAAAAACAATATTATGTTATAATTTTATCGACCCCGTTGGTCCCAGTGGTTAGCACTGAGAGCGCTAGATAAGTAGAGCCCGGGTTCTGAATTTTCTAAATTGGTCCTGAACTCTAGAAACACGAAATCGGTAGTTACGACCGTTTTCCCACTATGGATGACCTACAGACTTGAGTTTCGATTGGTGCTAGAACTAAGAATGTATGACAACGCGACTTGACAGACTCGAACGGGCCAGTCTTTGCGTTGACGGACTTCGAAAGTAGTTTCATAGGTCATCCATAATGGGCCATAAATACGGATTTCGTGCTTCGAGAGTATGGATGTTCTAGGTAGTGTCCCGGAATTAATTTAGTTGCTTTGGTATTCATAGTAAAGGGAGTTACCTAGGTTTGAGATCAAGGACTTGGTGTGTTGTGGGAAAGAAATAAAATAATTGGAAATGAAGGACCAAAACCAAGGGCACATTTGTCAATAGTATATTATTAAGTAAAATACATTTCAACAAAAACCCGCGTTAGTAATTTTTTTAACTCCTAATTATACAGCCATACACAAATAACATATCTAAGTACTTTATTATAGTATAAACCAGGTATAATCACAATTATCAAGAAATCCAATATGGTAGAAAAAAGTAGAAGGTGTGAGTACATAAATGAGGACATTAATAGCATGTTACGGCCTGTCACTATAGTAGGTACTAGCTAATAATTCTTGCTTAATATGTGATTCTATATTCTAGTATCTCATAAAATTTTACAAAACACACAAAATAATTACGACACATATTTAGCCACTAATGGAGATAAATAAAGGTGCGTGAAGCCCACAGTGAGACTTCGGAAGAGCGCAATTGAAAATAAATATGAATCAGGAACTACTTACTAGTCTAGGCGCGAGCTTAAAAATAACACCAAACAATTTTATGCAACACTAATAATAATAAAAAGCAAGTTAAGCTAAAGTCACCTATATTGATCGATACATTCATTACCTGCATAAAATCAAATACAATCGATTGTTCACACTAAGAAATTACAGAGAAAAAAACGTTAATCTTAAAAATCAAGATAAATTAAAATAGTTTCCCTTTTGATGAGAAAATACAATTCGAACGGCCGCCATTTTTGTATTTATGTCCTATCATTTGCATTTTTGCATTTACATTTGCATTGCGTTCTATTTGATTTTGCATTACGGAAATTTTGCCATTGTATTGACATGAAAGCATTAATTTATTACATAAACAAATGTTCGGTTCGTCAGTACGTGTTTTCAGCAAAGTTCGAACATGTTTAAATACCGCCTATGTTTATTCAAGTAAAACAAAGGGTTGATCACAGTGGAATGTTATCAGCAAAAAGAACACTTGACCTTCTTATTTTAAAACTGTTGCGACAGCGCGTTCAGAAAAAATAGCATAAAATATACAATAAAAACTTAAGTGTTATTTTTAATCTGTTTTCGACATTCATTTTAGTGAAGAGTCATTGATATGAATACAATTTTTCATCTCATTTTTATTATTTGATCGCTTCGAAAAGTCGACAATTCAATTCGGTCTTTAAGGTTTTAAAAATAAAGACGGTTGTACGCGGACATAAGTAACTTTAAAACAAAACCATGTTAATTCGGCGATGGAACACTTGACAACATTGAATACGAGCTGTGTATGCGAGTGCAAATATATATAAATACACGTTATTTATGTATGTTGTGAAGCTGTTGTGAAGGTATTTACGTACGTTTTTATTTGAAAAAAGAAAAAACGCAGAACATACTCGCAGTCACTATTTAAAAAACAAAGCTTTGTTTCGAAACCTTCGTGACAAAGTGGAATATTTTATATTGTCAAATACATGTTAACTGTAATCTGTAACGATATAATAATAGGTTACTAGATAACACTTTTTAACTATTGTTTTTCGTACAGTGGGCCACATCTACAGTTCACTTTTTTTTTGTTGATACGTTTACGTAAATATACTATACTTTAAGTCACGACCACAAAGTTGAAATTGGTAATGTACTGTAGCGATAATTTGTGTAGTATGTGGTTAGGAGTGTCAACTCATTTAGTAGCAGTAGAGCTCCTTGTGAAAGAGTTCGGCCAGGTTAGTACTGTCACCTTACCTATTTCTGCCGCCAAGCACTAATGTGAGCATTACTGCGTTCCGGTTCAAAAGGGTAAGGTCGCTGGTGAAATTACAGGCACGCGGCGCTTGTCAACTTATGTCTCAGGGTAACGGGCGCAGTGGAAGTGCCCATAAGAACTTTGCGATTTAAAGCTTTGAAAGGCACTGCAACTTTTATGGATAAGCGTGTCACTGACCACCAGGCGCACGACTTGATCGTCTCGTCACTTGGTGTTATGTACAATATAAAAAAGTGGCTACTTTTAACGTCAACTATTTTCAGAATAATCGCTAATTTGTAATATTAAACCAAATCTAGACAAGTGTCGTTTATTATTATTTCAATTAACACGAAAGACCCTTACATCGCTAATAGATACGTCCTTACGCGAATATTTTTTTAATTTTATCGCAACGCACAACAAGGAATTCGGAATCGAACTGTGTAAGTAACTACTTTTCTCCAAAATTGTAAGTTACACTAATTCACGCTTAAAATAAGTAAATACAAAAAAATAGTTTTTTTTAATAAGAGGCAACACTGAAGCTTAGAGACAATACATCGAGATTAAGGGCAATTGCAAACCCTATACAGAGCTCTTAAAATGTATTTCAGCAAACTGACCCTAATGAGAAAAGCTGAATTTTTTCTTTTTAATAAAAATAAAAGTAAATGGATACTTCCTTTGAAATCCTTGAACAGAATTCGCATACAAATTAGGGTAAAGAAAAAGACGAGTTCACTCCAAGGTTAACAGCTTTGCGCATACCGGCCCTAGGCTTTTGAGGACATTATGAAATCTATGCTAAGACTACTTCAAAACGAATTATGACACCACAACATAATATAAACAAGTAAATCCATAAACACCTTTTACTAAAGTTGTGATTGTCTGTATTTAATTAAACAAGTATACGACCATTATTGGATTCATCCAATAATGGCAATTATTTTAATTAATTAATAATGGCAAGCATTTCAATGCTTGCTAATTAATGATTTAGAATAATTTGCCGTGTCGAGTAATTAAAAGCTCATTGTACTTTTTTGTTAATGTTGATAATTAACAGTAATATCATTTTGCTTTTTCGTAAACATGTCGTACATGAAACTGAATACTGTCATAATTCAAAATTAAAGAATTGAGAAAACACATTGAAAATTAAATAAAAATTCTGAATGAAATCAATATAAATATATTCTCGTTTATAAATAGTAATTAAGTATTATGCATAAATAAAAATTATCACACTATTCGCAATAAGATCCATTAAAACAGTGTTTTCTCAATTACACAATTTTGTGTTACTACAGTATTTGTTTCATGTGCGAGGTATTCAACTTGCAAAATATAATTAATTTCAAAATTTGTCATCATCAAATATCCAATTGTGGTAGCGTTTACTGAGAAATAGAATTAATTAAATTAATTAAAATCAATTAATTGTTATAAAAAATTTAATTGTTATTATTATTTAGGACAAAAATTGTTATTCTAATGGGTGACCGCATTGTAATTAAACCTATATTTAATTTCGTTTAATTTGGATGAATGACAAATTGCGTATTCACAAGTTCATTTTTTATCAGGTGGGTATAATAAAAAATTTCATTTCATGCCGATTTATAAACACTATTTTATCTTTATATTTTATATCGGTCGTTTAAAAAAACTAGCATATTCCTTTACGCCTACATTTGAACACAAATTTTAAATTTAAAAAAAAACAGAAGAGAAACTCGCAAACCGAAATATGCCAAACTCACATTATAAATTTATATTTCGACCAGGCGTATCTCAGGAAATCCAAGACGCTAAATCATGCACACGTCACTCCAGAAATCACATTACAGAAATAATCCGCTCATTCAAAATAACAAAAAGAGTATCAATTACACTATTACACGTTTAGGCACTTTGGTTGATGCGATAGTCAAAATGTGCAGCGAATTTATTTCGCTTTGTTATTTTCTAAACCGAGCCGAGTGGAAAGCCGCGCGTGCGACTTGACAAGCTGGTCGAAACACACTGTTTTGATAGTGTATTTTAGCGTACGTAACAAGCAAACCCCAAGGTGAGTCGCGGCTCTACCACGTACCAACCGACGGCACCACTTTTGAATGTTCCGTTCGTCCATCTATCCAATGCTGGTTTACCACCTCAAACAATCAATGCTTCGCGCACGGCCGCCAAAATAAAGTCAATGAGGAAAACTTTTTAATGTATAACACTCGTGGAGTATCTCAGTCGCAAATGTTAAAGTGAATGGCATACAGAAACCAATCTTAAAAACGTTGAAATCCTTCACTTACTTTCCCAACTCTAAAACGGTCAATCCAATTTGGAGAATTAATTCGATATACCTCGCTAACAACAATGGCCCGAACATATTAAATTGATATTAACAACCGAGACTCGATCGTGAATGAGATAAGATAACAACACATGGAAACTCCACACACAGTCATAACATAAACCAAACGCCTTTTTTTTAACTCCATGTGCGGTAAAAAATTATCTATCGTTATTCAAACGTGTTCAAAATTTCATGTCTCACTATGTCAATAATGCAACAAGCTTTATTGACGTAGTGAGACATGAAATGCCAAATTTAACCCTTCGTTAAGTCGTATAAATCCGGACGGATAGTAAGCTTATTACCCTAGTACATCCTGAAGACTATACTGGAACTAGTGACATCGTATATGATGATGATGATGATGAACAATGAATATTGCACTGCTAAGTGTATGTTTTAATAAATCTCGGCGTAATCTGCGTAGCCATACACTGCAGTGTGTACACTAAAACAAGGGTCAGTCAACGGTATTCGTGTCGTGTCCAACATTATTTCTCTGAATTTATTTATTTTTTTATTATTACGAAAATTCACAGACTAATTATTAAGGACTTTATAATAAGGATTAAATTTGGCATTTCAAACAGAGAAATAATGTTGAGAAAGTTGCAAATCGCTTACCATCGTCTTTTCTTTACATAACGACTTGTTTTCGTAAAAAATATTTCTTGCAAACCTTTTTTTGCCTTAAAAATGAAAGTATTTAATCTCTATCGTGTAAGTTTTTGTTTTTAATTGTTTGAAAACATGAAATATGCACGATTCTGATACGAAAAAATTGTTACATTTCCGATGTGTAACAACCGCGAAAACCTAAGAACTCGACATATTTTATGCCTTTCGATATTGAATTCGTTCACATACCATCTCTAGTATTGATGTTACCTTATCCTGACTCTAAAAATACAAAACACGTATGATGATCGTGCGATAGGGGCAGTTGCAGCCTTTAGCATTACGTACCCTATATTTAATCAAATTATCGTAAAGGGGGAAAATGTTTTTACAAACAATTCTACAAGTTCCACGAATTTTTTGTTATTTTATCCGGTGTACTAAATTAAGTGTACTTTAAATTACATTTATACGTATTGCTGTTTTTTCATACAATTTCAAATTGCTTTGAACTAGAGAAGTTACGACTCAAAAATTAATTACTGAGGTTCTCATTTTTACAAAAGTTAAGAAAATCGAATAAATAAAAATGTATCCAAATGGTGATAACAGAATAAAATATAAAAACGTCTTCACGTTTTGAATAACGACCGGTGGCTTCATAAACGTTTTAATGATACGAAATTACAGAAACTAGACAACCTTGTATTTGAATTTGTCCTTCTTTATTGGTATTTCGATACAAAGCTTTACTTTATCGATATACGAATCAAAGGGACTTTATTCATGTTAAGGTATTCGAGTTCGACCTGAGGGCACTTGCACTGAGCGAACTCGGCGAACGACACGCGTTCTTACGCAACTTAAGAGCCATTTATTCTTGAGCTCTAAGCGGAATACAATTTAAGACATTTAAGTGTCAATTTAAAATAGCGCCGATGATACATCATTGGCAAACGTTCATCGCAATCGGAGGTACTGGGGCCAACATTTGCAAAGACAACAGGCATGCGACGTGAAATAATCATTATTAAGAGTTAGTTTATTTACTTTTAAGTCATTCTGTTCGCATATCTTCTCTAATACCTCACCAATTGCACGTCTTATTTAAAAATAAACGTTGTATATGTTTGTAAGATAACTGGTTTAATATAAGCGGTACATACGTAACACGAGTAACTTAAGGTAACCAGAAGGTTTGTTGACGACACGTTAGTTTTATCGCACATCAAACCTTGAATGACGTAGTTCTTTAGAAGAACTATTTGCGATCCTGGCACTGTTTATATAGTCTTTATTTTGTAGCATTATGCTTTAAATCGTCCAGATTTATGTACGTAGAAGAATAAGTAATTAATTCTGGAGTATGTCAAATCCATGTACAGTTACAGTAACATAGTGAGAAGTATCACATTATTTCAGCGGTACAAGACCTGATACGTACAGGGTTACTATTACGAAATTTAAACAGGGCTGACAAAAAGGCTGACATTTGCAAAAAGTTCAAACTTTTTAGTAATAAAATCGCAAATGGCAGGGGTGTCGAGAGTAGCTGGTGCGTGTGGAGCGGGGGACCGTACTCTCCGGAACGCTCGTTATTTCGTTCAATTTGTTGATTTATTTTGTTTTTATAGTGTTAGCATTGCAAATTATGTGCAAATGCGATAGCTTTGGAGGTAAAATATATTGTAGTCAAAAAACCCAGACAGATGAAAAATCCTGACAAAATCCAAACAGAAGATCAAAAAACCAGATATGTCCGTATAAATCCGGACGGTTAGTAAGCTTATTACCCCAGTACATCCTGAAGACTATACTGGGAACTAGTGACATCGTATATGATGATGATGATGAACAATGAATATTGCACTGCTAAGCGTATGTTTTAATAAATCTCGGCGTAATCTGCGTAGCCATACACTGCAGTGTGTATTGGTACACTAAAACAAGGGTCAGTCAACGGTATTCGTGTCGTGTCCAAACTTCGTTTGTGTCAGCCACGATTTCCAACTGTTGTTTCCCTAAGTCGATTCATAAAAATACACCTCGAAAAGGTACCTTTGAAGTCTAATTATCTGGAAACCGGACCAGGTGGTATACAAACAATCAAGCTTAATCCAGTATAATCTTTATATCACGCACCATATGCGCTTGCGATGCTATAAACAATTGAAAGGAGGCCGTTTTTACGTCTTTTGCATTTTATGAGCTTTGACTAAATCTCCGATTATAATAAGTAGGCACTAGATCCTGGATATCGATATTAATGCCAGCACACATTTTACATATTCATTGTACAACTATGTTAATAAATTAAACAGCGATTTTTTCACTTAGACCTCGAGTTGCATGTAAAGCTGCTTTAGTAGAATGTAATTATGGGTACCTTGGAAGACACCACCTCAAGTGACCAAAGTCGTTTATTGGTTAGGACTTAGTAATGATTTGGAAACACATAGCTTGTGCTGAACCACGTTTATTAATAAGCGGAAATTTTGCATCAACTCTCGAATGATCTGTAATCAATTAATAATGTTCGATGTGCATTCAAGTGATTTTTATAGATAAAGACATTTGACGTAAGTAAAATTTTAATATCGATCTGGGTTGAGATGGTTTTATAAACACGGACATGCAAATATGCAAGAAGGCGTTACGCAGACGACATACATTCGTGTCTTGAACTAAAGTTTGTTTAAAGCAATCATAAAAATTGTCTCATTGTTTTAGTTAAGGCTCATCCATATCAGTGTGATATACGTACATGCCATGTACATGAATGTTTTCATTGCGTTCCCACTCTCAGCGCCGAAGTATTATACACTGATGTCGTATTAAGCTTCTTAAGTTATTATAAAGCCGTAACAAAAGGCTTCGAGCAATCCTTTGTTTCAGGTGCAAAATTACCATACCGGGAAGTGGCGTGAACTGTGTATGTGAAATATGCTCGCGCTACTTCGCGGGTTTACATTTTTAACAACTTCAATGTAGAAAAGGCACTTGTGACGAATTTCTACATATTTCACAATGGCAATTTACTTTCATATTAACCCCTACCAGACAGTTAAATGCCATCAAAACGTCGAATAAGATAGACGTTTTCAATTAGCGATTAATTGTTGAGACCCCGATCACATGGTAGTTGTTTTGTTTCACACACAGCCATTCTTAAAACTTCAGAGACAAACTGTTTGGTTTAAAAATAAACCAGGTAAAGCAGTCACGTAGTCTGGCAAATGTCCAACTTTATTTTGTCTACTTAAAAGTGATTTTTGATTGAATATGTCTGATGCAAATTTTGTCTTTCATACTTTTGCATTATGAAAAGAAGTGTTTTGTTTGAAAGGATCTGAGTATTTTAGGAGATACTCCTGAAAATCCTTCTGAATTTCGAACAAACTTTTTTCACATTTACAATTATTTATTTGTCAAATTTTACGACGATTACACTTAACGACTTTATAATATTTGCGTTTTTTTGTCAATGCAAAACACGATACAAAAAATATGAAACCGGCTCTCTCTGATAGGTTCTGGTAGACGTTCCTACAAAAGCTCGAGTTTCGGTAAACCTAGATCATTATCATCATCCACAGCCCGACTTAACGCATTGTTGGATATAGGCCTCCCGTAGTTTGTGTCATTCCCAACGATGCTGTACTAGTATCACTAATCTACGGCCCGCGACTTTGACTATGTCGTCTGCTCGTCTCATTGCAAGACGTCTCACGTTTCTGTAGCCTATAGATAGTACGGCTTTATCCTACACAATCAAAATTCGGTCATAGTCAAGATTTGAGGGTAAATCTTAACACCGCGCTTCAATGTTTGCTTAAAATGGGTCACTGACATCTCGAAGATTTTTATGGAACTACAAAATGCGCAAAGTTGATCGAATTTGTTACTTTATTGTCAGCTGTGATCATGGGACCAAAGAATTTATTGTCACTTTTATTTAAATATTTTTTCGGTAATAAGCGCTCTGCCGCCAACATTTCGAA